TGTCACCTGCAGGGCAGAGAGTACAGGTGGGCTGGAACTTGCCTGCATGTTATAAATAAGGTCATCGAAGGAGGTCTGTCTCATTGCTGAGGTGGCTTTTGAGCACGGCCCTGAAAGGCCTGCAGGATGCTGGGAGACTGCTTCCAGGCAGAGGGCACAGCTGCCCAGGCCTCCTCTCCTGCACGTAAAGCAGGGCTTCCTGTGGGCCACAGTTTGCAGAGATGGAGGTGACAGATCTGAGAGCCTCACGGGCCTGGTGGACTCACTTGCGGTGATGTGAGCTCTCTTGTCCTGAGGGTCAGTAGTGGTGGGCCGCGGGTTCCGGGCTTGGAGAACAGGGCGGTGCCCCCGACTGGTACTACAGGGGCAGCAGCAGCGGCACTGGGTTTAGCACACCCAGTGGTAGATCTGTCCAGCTCATTGCGGTTCCCGCAGCTCTCAAGCACAGACGTCTGGCAGAGCCCGGAACACAGGTCTTTATCTCTTCAGTTAATGCTGGTGACCAGCTGCTCTGGTGCCGGAAAAGGAGTATGGCAGGGCCCCTGCCCACAAGCACGGCCGCTGGGTCAGTTTCATAGCAGAGGGTGCCAGGGACTTACGGGGAGTCAGGAAGAGGCCTGCACACTGTCCTTGAAAGGAAACTGCATGGCCATGGAGTGAATGAGAGCGGGGAGCCTCAGGTGACTCCGGCTACCGACTGGCTTGGTGCCGGGGAGGCACGCCTGACCGCCCTGCCACGTTCTCCTTCCAGACTCATGGAGAGATTTCTCATGGACGGATTGTATCCTTAAAGGTCTGAAGCGCTCCTGTTCCTGCAGCCCTTCCACCCTCCTGCCTGCTCTGCCCCTCTGCCCACCCTCTGATCCAGGGACGAGGCGGCGAGCAGGTGCACAGGTTTCATGCGTGCTGGCTTCCTGCTGGCTGAGCCCTCTCTTCCCTGGAACGGCCACGTAGCTAGTGGGGCCTGGTACCCGGCAGTGGCACGTTCTCGCTCCATGGCTCCGCTCGTGACGGCCAGCCTATCAAGTTCTATCCATGTGTTTCCTGGGACTTAGGTGGTCAGGACACAGCCCCAGCCTCTCCCCCCTTGGTTGTGCCAGCAGCGTTTGAGGCTGATCCTCTGTTTGCCACATTCATTCCATTTAAAAGAAAAGGAGGGGTGGCCCATTCCGTCACACCAACGCCCCCCCCGCCCCCGCCGGCCGCCTTTTTCATCCGTCTCTGCTCCTTAACCTGGGTGCAGTGTGCCCCAGCAGCTGTCCACATACGCACTGACGCTGTACAAGCACACGGCCACGGTGGACGGCAGGACCGTCCTTGTGGGTGAGCAGCACAAGGCCCAGCTACGCTAGCTCGCGGGGGCACGGGAGTGGGGGAGCTGTTCATGGGAGAGTCAAGAGGAAGGAAAGGAGACCCCGAGGCAGGAACAAAGGGTGACAGAGAGGACTCAGAGCCGGGAGGCCTGGGAGGGTGATAAGGAGCACGCAGGCTTCAGCCCAGCTCTGACCTGGGGAGGGACAGATGGACGTGGTCTGACGCTGTCCTCCACAATGGCCTACCTTTCCACGAGGTCACAGCCTCCCCTTGCCAGGCCCCATGTCCCGCCTGACTGCTCTCCGTCTACACTTTCCACATGTGGGAAATCGGCCTGGTTTTCACCTCGGCGGGTCCTGATTTTGTGGATTAGGGGAGGGGCTCACCTACCTTCCCCCTCTTGGGGCTCCCTGTCAGCATACTCACATCCTCGTTACCCACCCCGTGCACAGAGGTGTACATGTACCTCTCGTGGCACCCAGGTGGCCTGTGTCCTGACAGCACATCATTGGCTGCTGTGTGGCCTCCCTGTCCTCCCCACGTGTGCCTCGTGCTTCCGCACACAGGGATGCTCAGGGTATCCAGGCTTCTGCCCTCCAGCCCCTCAGGCAGTCAGAGCTGTGTTCCTATTGCAGACTTTTGGGACACGGCCGGCCAGGAGCGGTTCCAGAGTATGCACGCCTCCTACTACCACAAGGCCCACGCCTGCATCATGGTATGAGACCAGCCGGGCAAGTCTGGCCTGAGGGGTGAGGGGATGAGGGGCCCAGCTGTACCGGGGGGCCCCGGGGGCCTCCCTTGACCATCCCTTGGGATACACGCTGGGGCTGAGAGGGCTGCGGTTCTAGGAACTTTCCCTGCCCTGCTTTCACTGTGTGTCTAGACAGTTGTCCGCAGCCCACCCTGTCGTCGGGGTAATGGGCCACAGCGGACCCAAACTCAGCTGTGGGAAGGGCCAGGAAAGGGGAGGAGACTTGTGTGGACCATGCCCTCTAGGGCCCATGCATGAGCTCCCTGGCTCCACTCCAAAGCCCCACTGTTCCATAAGTCCAAAATCTCTTGAAATTTCCCTAGATTTTAACTATAAGGGCAAGAAGCAAAAGAGGGTGACAGGGCAAGGTTGGTGAGGGCAGTGCAGCCCCAGAGTCTTCCCTGGTCAGCATCGACCCTCGAGAACTGGGGCGGTAGGACCAGCCGTCCCTGCGTCAGCCCTGCACTGGCGTTTGGTGCCCTGAGCTCACCGCTCCTCTCTGGGACGGGCCTGCCTCTCCACATCTGTACTGGCTCCTTTGGACCCTCTTCTGAGGCCTGGTGCCTGTGCCTGCAGGTGCCTGCCACCAGCCCAGCGGCTGCAGGGCCTGGAGGGTAGAAAGCACTCACCTTCCAGTGACCACATGGGGCCCGATTGCCCTGCAGGGAGCTGGGGTTCCACCCTGCACCTTGACACCCCAATGGGGTTGTTCCTCATCCTAACCAGCCCCTCCTCACCCCTCAAAACAAGGAGAAGGGGGCGCCAGAAGCCAGAACTGGGGAAGGGTTGCCTGGCATGAAGCAGACTCCAGAAGCTTCATCACAAACTTGCTTCATGAGAAGTCTTTATTGGGAGCTCAAGACGATGTTGGTGGTGGGAATTAGGCCTGGAGAGTGCCATGGTGGAGCCTCCCACATGGACCTCCCGCCAGGCGTGACAGCTGCTCCTGCTCCTCGTGCACGGCAGGGCCCTAGGCCTGCTGCATGTCACTCCCATGTAGGACTGGGCTATTTACAAGGAAGACCAGCCATCCCAGCAGGCTGCAGGGCTGTTTGTCTTGACCCTGCGCTCTGGGGGCGTTTGGGCTGTGAGTCTATCCTGGAGGACAGCTTGGAGGCAGGAGGCTGGCCTTGAGCTCCTGAGGGGCTGGGAGGGTAGCTGCAGCTGGGTCAGGACCTGTGGCCTCCCTGCCCTCAGGGCACGTGCCCAGTGCTCGGGCTCCTGCAGATACTTTAAAATAGATAGCAACTAGGTTCCAAAAAGTTAATGAAATTATGATAAGCTACTAAAGAAAAAAATATAAGAATTACTTTTAAAAAGTTTAAAATACAAAACGACTAGAAGCCAGATAGAAGCTTCGAATTAAAAGTAAATCAAGAGTAACTAAAGGGAAATTCTAGAAACATTTCAAATGAATTTTAAGAGTTTAAGCAATAAAAATAATAGACTAAGAAAAAAGTTTACAATTTATAGGAAAGATGGTACAACTTGGTGAAAATAGCTAAATGAAATTAGGCGATGCGATGACAGCGAAGAATGAAGATTTTAAAAGCACTTTAGAGCTGGAGGTTCCTCGAGGAGGTTCCACACTTTTGAGGGGCTGCAGCTCAAAGCAGGCGCCGGTCCGAGTTCCCAAGCCTGTGACGTGCACCCATGTTCACCTGCTGGGGTGCCGGGGAGACACATCGACAGCGCTGAGCTGTCTTCCTCTGCTTATTGCAGGTGTTCGACGTGCAGAGGAAAGTCACCTACAGGAACCTGGGCACCTGGTACGCTGAGCTCCGGGAGTTCAGGCCAGAGATCCCGTGCATCGTGGTGGCCAACAAAATCGACGGTGGGCTGTCTCTGCATCTGGGTGTCCACAGTCCCCTGGGGACCCACCACTGCCACACGCTTCCCGCTGTTTCTCTGGGGCAACAAACCTTCAGCGACCCACCATCCTTCCCCAGAAATCGCCCCTGGTTGCATGCCATCACTCCCTTCCCAGCGAAGAGGCCAGCTGAGCCAGGCTGCCCCCTTCCTGCACACAGACACCTTGCAAATGGAGTCTGTCTGGGACGCACCCCCTGATTGTCCCGCCTATCCCACTTTCTGGAATGAGGGCCCCCATTGACCCACTGTGCAAAACTCTCTCCCTTGCCCTTGATGGACAGGCCAGTAGTCTACCTTCTTTCTACAGCGGACAGAAAGATGACCCAAAAAAGCTTCAATTTTACCAAGAAGTTCTCCCTACCCCTGTACTTTGTCTCGGCTGCTGACGGGACCAATGTCGTGAAGGTGATGGTGGACTATAGGGTCTAGTGCGGCTAGGGAAGGCCAGGCAGAGAGGTGACCGGGGGAGCTACATGAGAAGGGCTGGCGGAGAGGGCGGGCATGGCGGGGGCCGTGGGTGGGCCTCGGTGACAGGACGGGGCCATCGTAAGTACCGACAGTGCGTGTGGCAGTGTGATGGGAGCGAGGTGAATCAAGGGGTGGCCTTGCTGATTTTGGGGGTGAGGTGTCGTGCGGACTTGGGGTGGGGCCAGCGGGGCAGAGGCAGGCAGAGTCCCAGGTGCTGGGATTCAGGCCACGCACCCTTCCCACCCTGCCCTCCCGCAGCTCTTCAATGATGCCATTCGATTAGCTGTGTCTTACAAACAGAACTCCCGGGACTTCATGGATGAGGTTCTGCAGGAGCTCGAGGTAGGTCAGGCCGCGTGTCGCTAGGGTAGGGGGAATGGCCGCTCTTCAGGGGGTGCGGACAGCCCAATGTCGTGGCTCTGGCCAGCCTTGGGCTTGCCGCCCCAGCCGTGTCACAGCCGCAGCTGGTCCAGCGCAGCGCCAGGCCTCACGGTAGCCTTGTCCACAGAACTTTGATCTGGAGCAGAAGGAGGAGGACGTGCCCGACCCGGAGCAGCATGGCAGTACCGAGAGTCCATCTTCCTCCTGAGTCGGAGGGGAAGGCCTCTCCAGGGCCGGCTCGTCGGGTCGGGGGGCTCCAGAACCCCCTCCCTCTATGGCCCTTCAGCACTGAGCCGAGAGCCTCCAGGCCACCACCCCACTCTACCTCCTGTCAACCCACCTGTCCTGTGCGCTTCTCCCACCTGGATGGCCCATGATACCTGGCCCGCACACAGCCGTCCCCACCCCTGTCCCCACGCAGGAACAGGCTCAGCCCCAGCGAGCACCCTGACACATGTAGGAGGTCAGCACGGGACCCCGAAGCTGGACTGGGGTCAGCGTCCATCCTCTGGGTGGGACAGCGGGGAAGCCGGGAGCATGCTGGTGTGTCCCTTAGATAAAGGGGTGCAGGTGGGTTCTTCGTCTCCGAGAGCTGTCCTCGGGGCCTTTCTGTTGCATCCCACCCAGGGCACAGCTTCCAGCCCGGACTCCCCATTCCCAGCCCTGGGGACTCGCGAGGCCACCGCCTTTTCTCTTTAGTCTCCCAGCTAACTTTTTAAGAAACAGTTTTGAGTAGGTTCCCAGGGGCTCTTCCAGGTACTTCCAGGGTGTTGGTGAGCAGTGAGGCCAAGGTCACAAGCATAGGCCATTAAAATCCAGAGAAAGCAGGCGACGGGTCTGCCACACTGAGTGACGTCACTGTTGGTGACACCCCACAGGCATCCCACAGCCCTGTGGGCTACCGGAAGCGGGCTCAGAGAGGCCCAGTGCGCAAGGCTGCCTCGTGCTGCCCTGTGTGCTCGGAGGCTCAGTGTGGGCACCGCCCGCGGGCAGTGAGGCCGCAGAGCCACCGTCCTGCGTTCCTCCCCAGTCCTTGTGTTTGTGATCATTTCTATCGTTTTTATTTATTTCTTGTTTTCTTTTTTACGGTAAAGGTTGAATTATATAAACTGAGTATGTGTGCATGATTTGTGGGTCTGGATTTCACGAAGGAGCTTGAGAGCCATCGACCGCGTCACTGAGGGGAGACCGCCACAGTGCCGCGCGAGGTCGCCCTAGTTAATTCACTGAAACGGAGAGTGTTAAAGAATGAGTATTTGGGAGTCAAGAACAAACTTTTCTCCACTTTAAATTAATAATACTTCAACTTCCAGTTTGTGAGATTTGACCTGACAACGGATTTTCAAGAATGTGCTTGCTCCTCTGCTGAGGTGGGCTTTTAGAAACAGCAACAAAAACAAAAACCCCTTTACATACTGAAAGTGGCCGATCAGTACTTTTCAGTGGAGTGGCTTTATGGAGCGGCAGTGGGAATACTACAAAATTTGTGTCACTGTCACTGTTACGTAACCGTTTTGCAGCAGGTTCCCTGGAAGCAGAGGCTGAGAAGGCAAATCCTACTCAGCTTCCAGGCAGTTCCACAGGGCAGGCAGGACGCTGGGCAGCTGCAGCTAGCTTGGGTCTGCCTCCTCCCCGCCCAGGGGAGCTGGGGGACAAGCTGCCCTCAGGCTTGGTCCCATTGTGAGACCAGAGGGCTTTTTGCCCAGTCGAGCCCAGTGTGCGAGCAGGAGGTAAAGGGGCCCCTGGCCTCAGGGCACACGGCTCCTGTTTCAGCAGGGGCAGCCCCCTGGGGGAGGGTCCACTGGGAGCCTCACCCGCCAACACCCAGTGCCACCAGCATCCTAGCCACCCACCCTCAGGCAGCCCTACCTGCTTCTTAAGTTCTTCCTGATTCACACAAGGAATCCAAAAATTCATTGAGGTGAAATCTACAAAACTAGCCATTTTAAACAATAGAGTGCCATTCAGTAGTTACACTGTTGAGCAGCTATTACCTCTAGACCTAAAACATTTCCATCCCGTGAAAGTAAAACCCTTGACTTACTAAGCAGTTTCTACCTTCAGCCTTTGGCAGACCAGTTTACATTCCGTCTCTGGATTTATGTTTTCTGGACATTTCATATAAGTGGAATAATACAATACGTGACCTGTGTCTGCTTGCTTTCGCCTAGCATGTTTTCAAGTTTCGTCCATGTATCTCTGCTTCATTCCTTTTCATGGCTGACTTGTACTTTACAACAATCTGTCCATTCAACGTGGATGGATATTTGGCCCGTTTCTCCCTTTCAGCTGCTGGGACAGTGCTGCCGTGAACACACTGTGCCTGTGCTCACCGCACGTTGTCAGTTCTCAGGCATCTTGGTCTGCTCAGGCTGCTGTAACAAAATGCCATCAACTGTGTGGCCTACAACAGGTACTTATTTCTTTCAGTTCTGGGGGCGGGGAACTCCCAAAGTCAAGGTGCTAGCAAGGGAGATTTATTTCTGAAGCCTCTTCTCTTGGCTTGTAGCAACTTCCATCTCAGTGTGTGCTGTCACAACCTCTCCTTTGTGTTCAAGCAGAGAGAGAGATGCAAGAGAGAGGGCGAGAGAGAGAGAGAGAGGGAGAGAGGGAGAGGGAGAGAGAGAGAGAGGGAGAGAGATGAGGTGAGGGTGGGAGAGGGAGGGGGAGAGAGATGAGAGACAAGGGCAGGAGAGGGAAGGAGGGGAAGGAGGGGAGGGGGAGAGAGAGAGAGAGGGAGAGAGGGAGAGGGAGAGAGAGGGAGAGAGATGAGGTGAGGGTGGGAGAGGGAGGGGGAGAGAGATGAGAGACAAGGGCAGGAGAGGGAAGGAGGGAGGGAGAGAGAGATGGGGGGAGAGAGCGCACTCTTAAAAGACCACAGGCCCCACGTCCTTAGGACCTCATTTAATGCTAATTACCTCCGAAAGACCATCTCCAAATACAGTCGCATTGAGGATAAAGGCCACAGCATATGAATTGGGGAAGGGGACATACTTTAGTCTCCAGCACGGTATACACAGGAGAATTGCAGGATCATGTGCTAATGACATGTTTAAACTTTGAAGGGACCACCAATTTGTTTTCCATAGTGAAACCACCACTTAATACTCTTACACACAATGTGGGTTCCGGTTTCCCCAGGTCCTTGTTAGCACTTGTTATTTTTCCATCCTAAAAGACTAGTGTAGCCATTCTCGTGGCTATGAATTGTGTCTTGTGGTTTCGATTGCATGTCCCTGAGGGCTGCTTGTGTTGAGCATCCCTTTGTGTGCTTGTTGGCCATGTGTCTATTTTATCTGGAGAAATATCTGTTCAAGTACTCTGCCTATTTTTAAATTGGGTTCTCTTTTTGTTGTTCTAAGAGTTTTTAAAATATATTCTAGATATTAAATTTTTATCATGTTTATGGTCTATAAATATTTTCTACCATGCTATAAATATCTCTGATGCAGAAGTACTTAATTTTGATGAAGTCTGCTTTTCCTTTCATTGCTCATGCTCGGTATCACATCTAAAAATCCAAGGCTGTGAAGATTTCCCTTCTGTTCTAAGAGTTTTATGGTCTTTAACTCTTATAATTCTGTCATTGATCCAGTTTGAGTTAATTTTTGTGTACGATGTAAGGTAGGGGCCCAACTTCACACCTTCGCATGTGGACATTCGGTTTTCCCAGCACTATTTGTTGAGGAGGCTATTATTTTCTCTTTTAATGGTTTTGCAACTCTTGTGAAAAGTCGATTGGTCATAATTGTGTGCGTTTATTTCTGGACCCACAATTCTATTGCATTGGTCTAGATGTCTGTCTCATCCCAATACCACACTGTTTTAATCAATGTAGCTCTGTAGTACAGTTTGGAAATCGATGAGAAGTGTGAATGCTTTAACTTTGTTCTTTTTAAAAGTTGTTTTGACATCTTAACAATATTAACTCTTTCAACTCATGAATACTGAGTCTCTTTCCATAAATTTAGGTCTTCACTTTCTTTCATCACTATTTGTCGTGTTCATGTACAAATCTTTCACTTCCTGATTAAATTTATTTCTAGATATTCTTTGGATGCTATTTCCTTTTTTGACTGGCCATTGCTGGTTATAGAAACATAGCTGGTTTTAGTGTGTTGATCTTGTACCCTGAAATTTTGCTGAATTGTTTTATTAACTCTAGTCGTTTTTTTGTGGATACTTTTGGTTTTGCCATAAGTAGAATCATATCATGTGCCTATTGAAAACATTTTCCCATTTTTTTCTCATTTGGAGACATTTTATTTCCTTTTCTTGCCTGATTTCTCTGAGTAGAATTCCCAGTACTATTTGAATTAAAGTGACAAGCAGGTATCCTTGTCTTACTTCTTATCTTAGGGGGAAAGTTTTCAGTTTTTCACCATTGAATATGATGTTATTTATGGGTTTTTCATATGGCCTTTATCATGTTGTAGACATTTTCTTCCAGTCAACATCAGTCCATCGACGTGTGATGTATTACGTTAATTGATTTTTGTATATTGGACCAGCCTTGCATTCCTGTGATAAGTCGTGCTTGTTCATGGTGTGTAATCCTTTTAATATGCTGTTGAACGTGCTAGTGTTTTGTGAGAGGGCTTTTGCATTTATGTTCGTAAAGGATATTTGTTGGTGATTTTCTTTGCTTCTGATGTAACTTTGATATCAAAGTAACGCTGCCCTCGCAGAATGAGGGAGTTTGTGAAGGGCGGGTGGCTAACTCTTTAAATGTCTGGTAGAATTCACCAGTGACGCTGTCTGGTCCTGGGCCTTTCTTTCTCAGAAGGCCTTTCTTTAAAAACAAAGAAAGAAACAAACAAACAAACAAAAAACTGATTTTACTTCTTTGCTTTTTATAGATGTGTTCAAACTTTTAACCATTTTTTCTTTCTATTTCTTCTTGAATCAGTTTTGGTAATCTGTTTTTCTAGGAATTTGAGTGAGGGGCATATGGAAACTCTGTACTACTTTGCAACTTTTCTGTAAATCTGAAATTATTCTGAAATAAAAAGTTAGTTAAAAAAAGAAATCAATGCAGCTCACCAGATTAACAAAATAAAACAGATAAACTATATGATCATCTCAACAGATGCAGGAAAGGATTCTGACAAAATCCAACACTCATTCTTGATAGTTAAAAAAAAGAAAGAAAGAAAGAAAAAAGAAAAACCTCTTAGCAAAGCGGGTATATAAGGGAACATACTCAACCTATTAAAGGGTATCCATGAAAAACACTGTCACAGATAATCTCACTGTCAGCATCACACTCCATGCTGACAGCTGAATTATATATACTCTCTTGGGCCGGGAACTGGACGAGAGCATCCATTCTCGGCACTGGCATCAGCATTGTAACACAGGTTCAGACCAGAACAATACGGCAGGAAAAAGAACTAAAGGCATCCAGACTGGGAAAGAAGAAATAAAACAGTCTTTATTCACAGATGACTTGCCTGTCTATGCAGAAACCCAACAGATTCTACAGAAAGACCACTAGAATTAATAAGTGAATTCAGTGAATTCAAGTAAGGTTTCAGGATGATAATTAATGCACGAAAAAAATTATTTTTCTATATACTAGCAAGGAACAATTGAAAATTAAAATACCATATACAATAGTATCAAATTATAAAATGGGAATAATTCTGACAAAATATGTGAAAGACCTCACACTCACAATATAAAGCATTGCTGAGAGAAATTAAAGAAATCCTAAATAAAGTTTATGGGAGAGCTATATTGTGTTCATGGTTTAGAGGACTCGACATTGTTAAGAGGCCAAGTCCCCTCGAGTTGATTTATATAACCATACTAAAAACTCCAGCAGGGTTTATTTTCATAAATCAACAAGCTGATTCTAAAATTCACACACAGGTGCTAGGAATCTAGAATAGCCAAAACAGCCTTGAAAAAGAAAAACAGTTGGAAGATTTCAAGACTTACTATAAAGCTATGTGTAGTAAGACAGTCTGGTATCAGCGTCAAGATAAACAAGTACATCAAAGGAACAAAGCAGAGCTCAAAATTAGAACCATATGTATACGAACAACTGGTTTTCTTCAGAGGCACGAAGGCAGTTCAGGGATGAAAAGAGTCTTTTCAACATGGTGCTG